GAATTATTCTCTAGAACACAGTGTATGAAGCTGAAGATGGTGATGCTGGAATTGTCATTATAACAGAAATATTGGGGCACCTATATTGTGTGGCATGCATGTCACAGGAAATGATTCTTCCACACTACTCAACCTCAGTGAGACTACACTTAGAAAATTATAGCCAGTTTGGGGCACCCATTTTAAGAAAGATGTGGACAAATTGGAGACAGAATCCAGAGGAAGACAAGAAAAACTAATACAGATCTAGGAAACATGGCATAATATGGAAATATGACTGTTAAAGAAAGGTACTGTCTGTACCTTAATGGGTAGATTACCAAATCAATTCATGGCTGGGCTTTATATGTCTCTTAGTCCTGAATTACACAGTACCTAATGAGAAGGGTTTTACCTTGGCAAACACTTTGAATTCAGTTTAATTTTGCCTGCTTCTATAATGCACCTATCATGCAGTTTTTTGCATCTCAATTACTCCCATGGACATTTTATTCTGAGAGCCCAGAAAGCCTGGTAAGTGATAGGTGAAAACAAGGCCCGAGTACATTAAAACATATTTTCCTTGTATAAAAGTGTTTGCTTGTAAAAATCCTCTTGTACACCAGTTTAAGGCCATTTAGTTTTTTTCATTTGTACCATCAATTTCTCAGGCAATAGAAGAAATGTGCTGCCAGTATATAACGTTCATTTTGGGCTTCTCTAGTAAATTAGATTACCTGCTTTGATTGATAAAGTCACTGAGAGCAGTCTGCATTTTCTCTTCTGATGCAGTCTCTGAAACTTTGAGCGAATCTTTAACTTGCTCTAATCCTTCTTCCTAAAAACAAGATGTGAAAAAGTGTGATGTAGGAGAGTGATTATTCAGTTTGTCAGTATAATTATTTACAATATGGTTATTCAGGATATAGCTAGTGACAGAGAGGGAGGTGAACTTGGAACCCAAAAAGTAATGGCTTTGAAATGCCTGTCTGCCATTTGAATAAAATAAAAAATTAAACTTGGCTGCATCCACATGAGCATGGATGTTTGTTTCCCTGGGGACAAGAAGCGGTGACACACCTTGTCCTGCTGCTACTTGTCCCTGGGGAACGCTAATGCTACTTGTGTTCTGGCGCACAGCAGTTTACCCCGGGTGGGGTAAAGGAGGCTGAGGCCAGCAACTGTGCTGGCCCCAGCAGCCTTACCTGGAGTCCTGGGGGCTTTGGGTTGCTGCAGCTGTAGCTGGGAGCCTGGCTGGTGGTTGGAGCATGGCTCTGGCAGGCCAGGTTTTGGTTTTGGGTGGCACATGCTGCCACCCCACTTTTTTCTGCATGGGTTTTTTTTTTACCCTGGGATCTCCTGGGGTAAAAAAACCCCACAAACCTATGCTGCAAGGTAACAGTGTGTGGAACACCTTAATGTGCAGTGTGTGGCACCACAGACGGGTCTGCTGCACCACATAACGCATGGCTGAGCTCACCTGGACGCAACCCTCGGGTGCGAAGATTAGTCATGTAAATCCATGCTTAGAGTCTACCAACTAATGTCAACAGGCCTTGCATTGAGCCATCAGATGCCTAAATGAGTGACTTGATTCTAGAGGTGACCGCCATGGGAATGGCAGGTGCTCAGGCTCCCTCAAAATCGTGCTGCTTCTTCAGGGGCATCCAGGTTTGAAGTTGTGGGTCACATCAGTACAACTCAATTTCAATGAAGTTACTTCTGATTTACATCAGTTGATATGAAACAAGAATCGGGCCCTATGTAACTAAATCTGGGTGCCCCAAAATGAAGACACTCAGCATTAGAAGCCACTTACAAGAATTTGCCCCCTAATTCTAAAAGGCCTGTTCTAACTAGGCTAAACAACCACCATGCAGGGCCCGTCAATGCACGACAGTGACTGCACATGCCCTATTGAAAGAATCAGCTCTGTTATGACAATGAGAAAACTTAAGGAGTCTCTTCAGTTGCAAACAGGCACGGTCTTCTGGGGAGAAGGCCCAAGAAAGATGAAAATGTTGGTAGTCCAGTAAAAGTTGAGAGAGGTAATTCACCTTGTTAGTCTGATGTTAGGCAAAAGCTGGGTCAGATTTGTACCTTACAGACTAACTAAATCAGAGATGTACAGCATTGATGAGCCCTTTGATGACCCCATGCTCACTTCATCAGATGCTGTGAAAGGACATGCACAGAGTATATCAAATAAATTAAATACATTGTCCTGCTATAAAAGGGCTTTGGACAGAAAGCAAAAATAAGGCTGTTCTCCGTAGTTGCTCCTGAACTCTGGAACTCCCTACCTCTTGAGGGCTACCAGAGTCTGATCCTGGACATCTTGCAGAAGCTCTGTAAGACCTTCCTCTTTCTGCAAGCATTGAGGAAACAAAGCTTGGCTGAGACCATATAATGAGTCTGTTTTATGTATAATATTCTAGTTTCCCTTTTAGGTTGCTCTCTTCATAGAATCATAGAAAATTAGGGTTGACAGGGACATCAGGAAGTCATCTATTCCAACCCCCTTCTCAAATAAGGACCATCCCCAGCTAGATCATCCCAGCCAAAGCTTTGTCTAGCCCGGTCTTAAAAACCGCCAAGGATGGAGCTTCCACCACCTCTCTGGGTAACCTGTTCCAGTGTTTTACTACCCTCCTTGTGCAAAAATTCTTCCAAATATCTAACCTCAATTTCCCTGGCTGCAACTTGAGACCTGCTTCTTGTTCTGTCATCTGCCACCACTGAGAACAGTCTAGTTTCATCATCTTTAGAACTGCCCTTCAGGTAGTTGAAGGCTGCTATTTAATCCCCTCAGTCTTCAATTGTCTAGACTAAATAAACCCAGTTCCCTCAGCCTCTCCTCAGAAGTCATGTGCCCCAGCCCCTGAACCATTTTTGTTGCCCTCTGCTGGATTGTCTCCAATTTGTCCTCATCCTTTCTGTAACGGGGGGCCCAAAACTGAATACAGTACTGCAGATATGGCCTTAACAGTACAGAATAGAACAGAATAATTATTTTCCTTACTGTGCAGGCAACACTCCTACCAATGCAGCCCAGTATACCATTAGCCTTCTTGGCAACAAGGGCACACTGTTGGCTCATATTTTGCTTATTGTCCACCGTAACCCCCAGGTCCTTTTCTACAGAGCTGCTGCCCAGCCAGTCAGCCCCCAGCCTGTACTGATGCATGGGATTCTTAGGATTAGGTTAAGGCAGGACTTTGCACTTGTCCTTGTTGAACCTCAATGAGATTTCTTTTGGCCCAATCCTTCACTTTGTCTAGATCTCTCTGACTCCTAGCCCTACACTCCAGCATATCTACTACTCCCCCCAGTTTGGTGTCATCTGCAGACTTGGTGAGGGTGCCCTCTATGCCATCTTCCAGGTTGTTGATGAAGATATTGAACACAACCAGCCCCAGGACCAACCCCTGGGGCACTCCACTTGATAATGGCTGCCAACTAGACATCTAGCCATTGATTACTACCCTCTGTGCCTGATGGTCCAGCCAGTTTTCTATCCACCTTACAGTCCATTTAGCCAGCCCATACTTTCTTAGCTTGCCTGCGATAATATCATAATCCTTGCTAAAATCAAGGTATACTACATCCACTCATTTCTCTGCATCCATAGAGCCAGTCATCTCATCATAGAAGGCAATCAGGTTGATCAGGCATGACTTGCCCTTGGTGAATCCATGCTGACTGTTCTGAATCATCATCTTCTCCTCCGAGTGCTTAGAAATGGATTCCTTGAGGATCTGCTCCATGATTTTTCCAAGGACTGAGATGAGGCTGACTGGTCTGTAGTTTTCTGGATCCTCCTTTTTCTCTTTCTTAAATATGGGCACTATATTAGCCCTTTTCCATTTATCCAGGACCTCTCCTGATTGCTATGAATTTTCAAAGAAGATGGCCAGTGGCACTGCAATCACATCAGCCAACTCCCTCAGCACCCTGGGGTACATCCCATTGGGCCCCATGGACTTGTATATGTCCATTTTTTCTAGTCTCTAACCTGTTCCTTCATCACTGTTGGCGGCTCACCTCCTCCCCAAACTGTGCTGCCAGGTGCAGTAGTCTGGGAGCTGACCTTGCCTGTGAAGACTGAGGTGAAAAAGGCTTTGAGCACTTCAGCCTTTTCTGCATCCTCTGGCACTAGGTTGCCTCCTCCATTCAGTAAGGGACCCACACTTTCCTTGATCTTCCTCTTGTTACTGACATATGTGTAGAAACCCTGCTCTCTTACTGTAAGCAACCCTGAGCCTTTGTTGGGAAAGGTGGTATATAAATCACATAAAAAAAGTAATAAATATGCTGTGGGGATAGTTTTTCTCCTTCCCATGCAGCACAGTTCCCAAAATAGATCTCCTCTCTGCTGCTGTGGATTCAAAATAGCAGCAGCAGGAAGAGCATTTTCTCCCATCATTTACCTAGAAATAAAGAAGGAATCTCAGCATCTTCATGCATCATTCATCAAATGTGGCTGTATCACTCTGCATGAAGGACAGTGGCATTGCTGACACTGCTGTCACTTAGGGTTGCTATTTAAACAACACCATCAAGACCCATCAATAAGCTATGGTACAGATCATCCTCAAATCCAGGGATTGCCAAGAATTTACATAACCCTTTTTAATCTCTAGCAGTAAATTATATCTGGAACTAGCAACCTGGGAGGAATACTTCAAAATACACCACTCCAGTCAATCAGTGACCCATGGGGAAACACTGTGATGCCTGGCACTTTGAGCTAGAACATCATTCCCAAGAGCCATATAGCAAGAGGATTGAAGAGAACCCAAAACTCATCCCTGAAAAGCAGGAAGATTTAAGTTGCTGCACAAACTTCCTACAGGCATGGACATTGCCATGGTAGTTCAGGAATATGAGATGCTTTCCTTCACCCTCACATTCTTCTGGAAATTGTCTCCAGCTCTACATTGCAGCAGGCTTACCAGTTGATCTGCCATTTTCTCTAGCATATTGGAAGTGTACAGTCGGAAGGTCTGGTCTCCCCAGCAACTCTTGACTGAAATACAAGGCTTCTTCTCATCATATGGCAAGTAGTGATAGTTCCTGTGAAAATGCATGAAGCTGTATGAGCAGACTGTCCAAGCAAGCAAACAACATGGAGCAAGTTCACGGAGTGTGTATAAAGTGATACAGCTTGTATATATGACAGAGACAGAGAGAGAGGGTGGGCATGTGCATGCACATAAGGGAGCTGGAGTGTAAGTTAATATACATCTCTGTCTTTCAACCAGTGGAACAGTTGTTAAAAAAATGTGCAACCTGAAGGCTGATGAGGTCTCTTCCAGCCCTACTTCTCTATGATAAGCAGTATCATCTCTATGATACTGGTAGCAAACTGCAGCCTCTAAGACTTGGTGGAAGAGACGAAAGGGCAGAAGAAATAATTCCCTAGCCTCCAAATACGACATAGTATCAGAACTGATTGACTTAGTCCTCCTGAACTGTGATGAGGAAAGGGAGCAAAGCCAGTAAAACTAGACACTCGGCGCACCACTGAAATGCCTGTTGGTTACTACTTCCTACAGCAAGAGATGCAAACCATACTACATAATACTGAGGGGAGAGTAATTTTTGGTCTACTCTTATGGGAAAACCAATGGACTCTGTGTAACGTCTACACAGAACAAACACACACCAGTCTCTTTACCAGCTTGCTCCTGTCAAAATTAGTTTCCCTGAAGTGGTATTTGTAGAAACTGAGTCCCTGGCAGAAGCAGGAGTGGAGGGAGTATGTGAGTATAATACCAGGACTGGAAATGGCTCAAAAATAAAATGTAGATGTAATTTTTTTCTGTTCTCAGGTTTTATGCTTAGTTCAAACCCAGAGCTCACTGCTTTGTACTGCATTTAATTTGTGCCTTCAGTTAAATCATTTCCCTGAAAATGAAAAACCAGCAGGAGACCAGTTTGGCTGAAGGCTCCATAAAATGTAGCATATGTCTGCCAGGGAGTCTGATGCTTAGATTTAAAATGTTGTAGATGCCATGTTGACAAGATATCTCTGAAGGCAGCCATCAGAACAGCTCTCTCATTCCTATAGCATTGAATTTGTTCCCTTTCAAAAGAGATTCTCCCCCCACCGCCCTGCCATTACAAATTGCTACGGTCAGCCCCACAGGATTCAGCATGCATCAGATGCCACTCTATAGACCTATTCAATGTGCTTTGCTAATGTCAGAGGAGAGGAGAAAAACAGTGAAAATGAGATTAGACGGTGTCTCTGTGGAAGCCACTCCACTCGCACAGTGTGGACCTGGTGCTCTGCATGTGAAGGGGGATTCCAGGGAACTGGCCATTTTCTCCAGTATCTTGTCTCTGTGGACTGTCAAGCTTTTCCCAAAAGAAATTCTTCATTATCACAAAATTTAATAGGTTTGATGGCCACAATTTCCAAAAGCAGCTACTAACTTTAGTGACCTTCATCTTTTGGGGTATCCAACTCAAAGGACCTGAGTTAAAGCCAGGGTGGTCAGCCTCTTCCTGAAATCCATGTCCCTTTAATGTGTTTCAAGTCACTCAGAAATTAAGGCAACTAAAAACTCAAGGCGCTTTTGAAAATCTTGGCTGTAACCCATGGGGTTCCAGAGAAAATACACTAAATAGGTTTTTGTAGAAGTTACTCTAAAAGTATAGATTTAAGAGAATGAAATCTTCTTTGTGGTTCTATGTAACCATCCTATGGAATATCATAACGTGATACAATTCTCCAGGATTGCAGTAACGTACAGCTACTGTGAATTCAATCCTAGTCAATTCTATAGGAGTTTCGATTTTAAGTAGTATGGCCACATAAACCTTGGGACATCCATACAATTGATGGGCTTTTACCTTCTTTCTGCTCCATGAGGAAAAGGCAAGTCCATCCCAAACTCGTCCCTGAGTGGAAGTATACGTCAGAACTCTCCTAATTGTGAGTCACAGAACTTTTTGGTTCATTTATGGGTGAGTTGTTGCTTTTAAAAACTTCTTCTCTTAAAAGACTGAGACTTCCTATTATTAATCCCTCCATGAGGTGCTGAACACAGCCATTCCCTTCTGTGGTTAGTTTGCCCTTGTTATGCATTATATTAAATATGAAACATCATAGGCAGTTCGTATGGCAAGTCCCACTTTTCTAATTCTACTTTTAAACAGATAACATTTCGAAACACCAGAGTGTTTCTACAGTTGAAACAATTTATTTTAAAGCTAATTTATAGATATAATACTTATTTGATTTATCAAATAGAGTTGATCTGTCAGTTGATCAAATATTGATTAACATCAGGAATAACGTTTCAGCTACTGTGATCAATTAAATGCTAATATAAGGAGTTACAAGTGTCCCTACTAGGGCATATGAAGACAGACAGCACAAGACAAGAAAAATAAGAGGCAAAACATTTTATAGCTGCACAAATTAAAGGAAAATGGATCCGAAATGAAAGGAAGAAAGAAATGAGCCAAAAAATGGAGCTGCAGCTTCGGAAAAAAAGAGGTTTATTCCTTTTTCTGCAGCTCTTAAAACATAAATTCCTGTCAAGGGGAAATCTAATAATCCCTCGGTCTGCCTCACAAGATAGTAACTCAGCATGGGCCCAATCTATTGCATTATGATGAGAGGAAACCACTTGACAGACACTGATATTTATGTCTTTATTTGCCGCAGAAATGACAGTCCATCAATGCAATCTTCACTTCCCCTTAGTTTCGCTGTTTATTTCTAACTGTGTTCTTTACCATAAGGCAGGACTCCACCCAAGCACCTCTGCACCTCATACAAGTGCAGGATCCAAACTAACATCCAATCTAGCTGGTCCCTACTTCTATAATCCCCACTGGCACTGCCCTGATGCTTGGTGGTGAGAGGTACTGTCACATTCTGACATAGGTGACTGGTAGGGGTGCACATACAAAGGGTGGGGGGTTTGCTTCCATTGTTTCCATTCTGAAGTGGAATTAAATCCTTAACCTCTTTTTTTCCTCAGGGACAATCCCTCCTGTCCTTAAATTCATCTGCAGCAACTCTTCTGTATTTGTTTGCTATATCATCTCCCTGGTTTTTCTCCATGGCTTATCAGTCTTCCATTTTCCCCATTTGTTTCCTTGTATGTGTTGCTTAATGGTGGAAACCTAGGGCACTTGTACCTGTGACGGGGGCTTAGTCCTTCAGGGTTGCATTCTATGCCCCATAAATTGAAACGGTGAGTTTTTAATTGAAACAGTGGGTTTTATGTTTCTGTCACTGTATACGTGGCTGCAGGTGCATGATCTTTTATTTTTTTCAGTGGAGCCTGCCCGCCTCTCCCATGGCTTCGGGGTGAGTTAATGGCAGGCTGAGCTTCGGGGGGCCCTAGTCCTTCCCTCCACAGTGGTGGCATCCTCCAGAGCTGCCCGGGCAGGCTAGACGGCTGGGTGCTACCCCAGCTTGGAGGTGCCCAATCCAATTCTTCTCCAAGCTCGCCTGGGCTTCTAGCACCTTGTGCACCATCCCTGTCACCTTCTCCAGCCATCAGCACATCCATCTGCCCTCCTGCCACCTCCCTGAACTGCCCCAGAGGCAAGCCAGCCCATTCCCAGGCAGCCCCAGGTGTCCTGGTGGCTGCTGGTGCCTGCTGAAGGCAGAAGCAGCAAGGGGCCTGATCATTTTTTTCAGTGGAGCCTGCCTGCCCCTCCTGTGGCTAGGGGCGAGCTGACAGATTAATGGCTGCTACGTTACAAGTTGCAACGTTGCAAACTAAACTACATCAGGATGTGGTTTAGTTTATGATGCTGCAAACTCATTTAAAAGCCCCAAAACTCATGTACATGTAAAGTGTGAGGCCATTAAGCCACACAAAGGGAAATTTTCATCATGTGTACATGGTAACATTGTCACATGTACAAGTGCTCCTACTTCCTAGAGTTCTGGAAAGTGCTTTTGGAAACAAATCTGTTTTCTCTGCAAAAAAAGAACTAAATTCTGATATCTTTGCTATACATTTCAAGTATTGTCTTATTTATTTCAACAGAGTTCTTCCCTATCATCAGTGGTATTGATGCAAAAAAAGGCTTTACCTTACTTTTTCTGACTCCATAGGCCCCATCTACACATTACACTAAAGGTATTATTAACCAGTTAATCATGCCTCAAGTGGTCACCCAGCCATGTATTCAATTTTATCATAAAGGTATGATAAAAAAGGGAAATAAGCTACAAGGCTGTACCACAAAATATGTAATAACTTTGTAGTTGCTTCCTATCATGTCATTAACTGAACGCATGGCCAGGGGCCCCTGTGCCTGGGAGCCCCATCAGCTGATCACAGCTCACGTGTGGGGGGGAATCCAGGGTGGCGAGCCTAAGTCAGCTGATGGGGCTTCCAGCTGTGGGGGCACATAGTGTGCCCCCATGGCTGGAAGGCCCAGCAGCCCACCTGTGTTCCCAGCCAGGGGAGCTTGCTTCTTGCTGGTGGAGGGATCAGGCTCCCCCTGCACTGGCAATACGTCACGGTAGGATCTAATGAGTGATCCCACAATCACACCTCCTACCACGTGCGTGTGGCAGGGCAGGATGAGGGATTATATAGATCACACATAAGCTCTAAAAATGCCTTTACCTGCATGCTTACAGAGGCCACATAATGCACAAAAACAACCATGGCCAGCTCTCATTACAGGTCAACGTGCTTGGATGGCGGATATCAGCACACATCCATTGACTTCAATGGAACTTGGCCTATTTTTGCTAAGGATGTGGCAAGTTATATGTCATTATGTTCAATGATCAGCTACTCTTTTAAAGCATAAGCTCTCTCCAGCTTTGCTGGGGTTTATATTAATGAAACACAAATCTATGTCACAGTGGTATAGGGCAAAACCCAGGGATCTGCAAGTTATACATGTGAAATTTAAATGATCTACCTGTTTCCTTCTGTAATAAGAGGCTTCTCAGGGTGGGTTGTGGATATCAATGGCATTGCAATATCAGGGGAAGCTTCACTCTGCCCTTCAGGCAGCAGAGGAGCACTTTCTTCCTCTTCTCCTTCATGACCCTTTTTTTTACTCCCCGCTCCTAACGACCCTCCATCAGTGACATTCCCAAAGTTACCTAGGAGACAAAACAAGGGTACAAAGTCAGAGGACAGCTGGTGAAATGAAGTTATACAGGTGCTAAAACTGTATGTAAGTGTCCCTGCACTTCAAAATGGCAGCAGGGGTGCTTGAACTAAAGCGTATTTAACAACAAGAAGGATCTGTTCTTTGCCTTTGTCTAGCAGTCCTATGGTGGCATGGAATGACCCAGCCAAGATCAAGGCAGGCAAGAGCCAGGATGTAGCCTCTGTCACTGCCACTTCTCCCTGCTGCTTGGCCACAGTCTATGTGGTGCTCTGTGGCACTGAGCACCACCAAAACCTCCTGCCACCAAATGCTGCCAAAGCCCTCTTGCTTCAACCAGATCTGATGACTTCAATGGTCAAAGGCCATAGGTTGCCAGCCCCTGTCTTAATCTATTAAAAGAAAAAGAACTGATATAGCAACGTCTCTGTGTGTTCAGTTCCTATTCCTTTCTTCCTTGTCTTCTGTAAAAGCTGCCCTCCTTGCAGGCTCCTTGTTGCTCTTCCTTCTTGCTTCCAGTTCCGTTTACTGGCTCAAGGGGCTTTTCTTGTGGTAAAGAATCTGAAGCACCAAGTAACCTGCCAGTTCTCTACTGATCAACAGCATGGGGTACAGTGTGCTACCAAAGTCCACAGACTGCAGTTCAAGAACCCATGCACAATGGTTTATAAGTCAATACTTACTATGAACTCAGTAGTCCTTTTACAGTGCTTTTACTCATGTCAGTCTATCAAATTCAGCAAAGTGTCAAGAGTGTTAAGGGAACTCAGGCCCACTGTGCTCTCAGTAGGCTTCTAGATTGTTTAAGAGACCAGAAACACTAGACTCTGGTGAAGTCAAGTATTGCAGAGCATGTGCCCAGACACAGTGTAGAGATGTTGGATTTCTTGAATCAGCCTGCCTACCTCTAGTGAAAAGTTTATGCCATTTTAAAAATGTGTTTTTTTTCAAATGACAGGAGTGAAAAATTGCTGGAGCAAAGGTGAAAAGGCCAGAGCCTGAATACAAAATACTGACCAGCAATTCCATCTGGATCTCTCAGCTCCCTCCTTCTCCTCAGCTAGGAGTTGCAGCAGTGTGGCAGCAAGTATCGGCCACATAATTTATTCAGGATCTATGCCAGCAGTTTCTATTAGCTACTTTATCTGGTAGGATTAAGATGCCAACTAGGGCTAGCTACATATTGCCATTCTGGAAGGAAAGATGAACTTTAGTGGCAGGTCCACAGAGAGAATAAGGGACATTCGCTAGAGCTAAATGAATTAAGAAGCCAACTGATAGCAGATGGTATTTTTGGAATGGAAAGTACAGAGTTATAGGCCCAACTCGTAGTATGTGCAGGGGGAAGAAAGAGGTGTGGGGAGGGAGATAAGGCAGGCAAGATTTATGCAGTGATTTTATTTCCTGTTGTTATCATGTGGATCCTCTTTACAAGAGCTCATCTCAGAAGTAAAAGTTAGTTCTCATTCAAGCAGATATAGTATTCTGGCTTAAGAAGGGGTCTTTAGAAATAGGAATATTGTGAGGACCAAATTTCATTTGTGGCACTCAGTTTTTCTGCTAACAGTGCAATCAGTGATACATATAGAAGTTTACATGATGTAGTGGTTACCAGTATTAACAAGGGAGAGGTATGTGTTAGACTGACTAGTAAAAATTGTTATTAGAAATGGGCTTAAGACACAAAAGGGGATCCTGAACCTCATATCATTACAGTGAATAGATTTGGATTTAATTTCAGCCTATTATATAAATAAAGGCCATTGGCCAGATTTGGATGCGATTTCCAACAGCAGGCAAAACTGGTAGCTGTTCAGATCCAGGGTTCAGAGCCAGACTCATCTTGACAGCTCATTCTTAACATGAGCCAGCTTTTGGTCTTTATCATTCAAGTATACAGATGCACTTTTTGATAATCCTGGCCTATTCTCCGTACCAAGTCTAAGTATAGGTCAATATTACACATTGCTTTTTTTGTCTATGAGGTCCCTCCCTGCTCATTCTTCAGAAAACAGACACACCCAGACAACTGATCACATGGAAGGATAACATGGAGATGATCTAGTATAGCCCTGCCATTCTGGAAATGTTCCTGAGCACACAGATTGTTAAGAGGAGCTAATTCCTCTTTAGCTCCTCTAGGCTCAGCAGTGCTGTGCTGGCTAGCACTATGGAAGAAAGAGACTTGGGGGTCATCATTGACCACAAGATGAACATGAGCCTGCAATGCGATGCTGTGACTAGTAAAGTGAGCAAAGTGCTGGCTTGCATTCATTGATGCTTTTCAAGCAAATCCCAGGACATCATTCTCCCATTGTACTTGGCCTTGGTGAGGCCACAGCTGGAGTACTGCATCCAGTTTTGGGCCCCACAATTCAAAAAGGATGTGGAGAAGCTTGAGAGAGTCCCGAGAAGAGCCACACGCATGATCAGAGATCAGAAAAACAGACCTTACAATGACAAGCTGAGAGCCATGGGGCTCTTTAGCCTGGAAAAGCGCAGGCTCAGGGGTGATCTGATGGCCACCTATAAGTTTATCAGGGGTGACCACCAGTATCTGGGGGACCGTTTGTTCACCAGAGCGCCCCAGGGGATGATGAGGTCGAACAGTCATAAACTACTGCGAGACCATTTCAGGCTGGACATAAGGAAGAATTTCTTTACTGTCCGAGCCCCCAAGGTCTGGAACAGCCTGCCATCAGAGGTTGAACACCTTCAAGAGAACATTGGATGCTTATCTTGCTGGGATCCTATGACACCAGCTGACTTCCTGCCCTTTGGGCGGGGGCTGGACTTGATGATCTTCCGAGGTCCCTTCCAGCCCTAATGTCTATGAAATCTATGAAATCTATGAAAAGCGGTGACCGCCCGCAGAAGGCAGCAGTGGCTTCGGTGGCAGCCAGTCTTCAGGGGGGCACATGCCCCAGCATGCCTCCCCTACGCATTGCCTATGTCTCAGAACCACTCTAATTAAAGCACCACACACCCCACTGCCTCAGAGCATGTGTAAAAGTGCCCTAAGAGTCCTGAGGAACTGCAGTAGCTTCAGTTAAGTGATCTGCACCCTGAGTAAATATTCCTTCCAACGTATCCCTCTCATGGAGATGCAAAGTGCTGAGACAATGAGACAGTGCATGGGTACTAAATAGAAGGATCTGAGTATACAGGATCCAACTGGAAAGAGAAGCAGCAAAGTCTCAGGATCCCCAGGTTGCCTAAAGGAAGGAATATCCAGAAATAATATAACTGTCAATACCATTAGGTTCAGAAATGAATTGAAATTTCAAAGTCCTTCTCCGAAGTCAGCCCCTGAGCTCTGTGAAATGCATCTGTCAGTTATATAGTCATCATAATACAAAAGATTTCCTCTATGGAGCAGAAAAGTGTGTTCCATACTTACCAACAGAAACCTCAAAGCTTATTGGTTTATCTCCAACCTTCCTGTCAATCATTGTGGCTTCAAAAAATGCCCCAAAGAGAAAAAATTCCTCAAGCTGCTCTCCATAGATCTATAAGGGAAGTGAGAAATAACATTTGTTCTACCTCTTAATATTATTTTAGTGCACAGGAATATCTGCTGATGGTTTCAGCTTGTTCATTTATTGAGGGGCAGTTTTTCAAATCATCTTTCTAGAGCAATTCACAGATACTGTAATGAGACAGCACCCATCAAATATCCCTCCACTAAAATAAGTCATATTAAACTGAAGGTGGTAATACAGTTTCTTACCCATACTATATTAAACTGTAGCATTCTAATGCACACCTGTGCTCCCTTTGAAGGCTCCCCTGAGTGACTTCCATCTATTGCCCATGTATTAATGTATTTCAGTCAATAGGAGCCTGATCCTAGGAGAGGCTGAGCGCACTCCAGGCCCCAGGGAAGTCAATAGGATTTGAAGGCCCTCAGTATCTTTCCATTGTTGGTGCAGAATTGACATTTATGATATATGTGGCTATCACAGAACTGAAACATTTGTGAAGTGTGGACCTCTATGTTTACGTAACTCAGAGCAGGCAGCCAAGCTATAGTATAAGGCTGATTTCGCCAAACAGAAGCCCATGTTTGATGCTGACATATGTCTGGAACCAGATACAGCAAAGCTGCAGTGGCAAATGCATGAAGTATTAAATGGATTGTTGTTAAAATGTTTAGATAAATTGTTAGAGACAGTAGTGTAAAAGAAAGACAATAAGGAAATATCCTGCTGCTAAAGGTATACATCCCCAACTCACTGACAACTTTCATATCCACAAAGAAGAATCTGGTCTGATCCGGCTCTAAAGGCTGCAGTGAAACAAAGAGAGAGCGTCCAAGAGAGCACAAAATAACTGCAGGTGCTCCCTCTGCCTGACAAAGGGTGTTTGTACCCGAAAGCTTGCAAAGAAGACTTTTTCCAGCTATTTTACTTGGTCTAATTAAAGGTATCAAATGTATCCAAAGAACCTCATCTGTCAGGGAAACAAATAAATTTAAATAAAGCCAATCAGGAATCACTGATTAAAATATTAAGATCATGTTTACCAGCCTTCCATAAATAGAGGATATGACTGGAAAAAATTGGAGGGTAACTCTTCAGACAACACTACCTGTGGGACTGCTGTGCGTACCAAGATGCTTGCCTGAGGGACACTGAAAGGAGGATACCTCCCCCCAGCAACCCCCACTATGGAGAACGCTGGCCGATGCTGCTCCATGGCAGACAAGACTCATCCTGTAAGATTATGCTTATCCTTGGCAATTAATCTTGTTTTTGTCAATTAGTCAATAAACTTCTCACATTGGTTGGAAAGACCCAAGGGTCTGATTAAATTCTTTCTCACCCTTCCGACTTTGCTCAAAAGTGGCACACCATGCCACATTGATAGATGACAGCCCCAATCCAAAGCCCACAGAAATCAACAAGAGTCTTTTTATTTCTTTCAATGGGCTTTGGATCAGATGGCAAGGAAAAAGGGAGGTTCTGCACACAGTGATGGCATGATGGTTCATTAATGTTTTCTTTCACCTCTATCACCAGGAATGTAAGTAAGGGTGGGGGACCAAGGCGTCAGCCCCAGGTGGCAACTTGGGAAAGCAGGAGCTGCAAAATAGCTGCTGGCCGAGCCACTGCCAGTAGCTTGCTCGATGCACCACTGCTACCCAGGGCTCAGAACTGTCCAGTTATGCCTCTGACCAGAGACTTGCACTACTGTTTTCTGAATGATGTGAAAATGAGAATTGCAGAAACCTCAGGGAGCATTCTGTTAAACGCCAGTAAATCAGAAAGACCAAAATATTTTTTAATTTTAATAAAACCCTATTGTGTGCATCTAAGCCCACGTTTACCATGCTGTGGGGTGTTAATAGTATTTATCAAGGGTTGACAATGCAGAGCTGTACAGAGCTATTGGGAGACATGCTCTCCACTAGTTAATGATGCACACTTTCCTATGAGGCAGACTGGACCAATTCCTTCAGTACACTAAACTAATTTGCAAAACAAAATTCCCTAATTTAAGATTAGTTGAGCAGGATTTAATGGCTCAGATGCTACTCTGAGTTATGTGCCATCCGACTGTCCCTGTTATCTCCACTGAAACCCCACCATGTGCATGCTGCCACATTGAATATAACTTAGAGCAGAGTTGGCCATAGGGTTACCATACATCTGGGCTTTCCTAGACATATCCTCTTTTTTGGCCCCCTGTCCTTGTCTCTGGGTGGGTTTTTAAAATGCAACCATATGTCCACATTTTTGCTCTGCCTCTGCTTTCCTGGGTACTAGCAGCTTGGCTGCTTGGGGCTGGGAGCAGCAGGCAAGGTGGTTGGCTGTCAGGCATCACATGCTCTGCACACAGGCAGGCCCAGGCAAGCTGCTGCTAGGCAAGAGTGTGTGTGTGTGTGTGCGCGTGCACAAGTACGCATGCAGGAGCTGTGTGGGCAACAGGGCTGGGGGGCAGGGTGCTGTGGGTCAGAAGTGAGGGGCACTGGCAGGGCTGGAGGTGGCAGGGGGCAGAGGGTTGGGAGTGAGTGGCACTGGCAGGGCTGGGGGCTTAGAAGTGAGGGGCAGAGGCAGAGCATGGGCATATCACTGGCCCCCTTCACAATCATATACCCCCCCCACTTCCACCTCCCCTCCAGGTGTCCTCTTTTGTGATGCTGGAAATATGGTAACCCTAGAACTTGGGGCTAGTGACTCTCCAAACTGAAAGCAACATGGGGCTATGAATACAAGACTCAAAGTGTATTTTAATAATAATCTACCTGCCTTTCACGAAGGAGCTAACATCTTGGCATAACCCAAGGTATCCTCATCTCGAAAGAATTGAGGGATGTGTCACTGTGGGGCAAGGTGTGGGATGAAACAATGAGAAACCTCATATTGAAGCTAGCCACAAGAATTAACTGCAGCTGAAGATCAGTTCTAATTTCCCTCTTCCATGTTTCTAACAACATTCAAAAGCAGTAAAGCCCTGACTCAGTATTGGTGATACATTTCTACTCCCATTTATCAAAGGAATAAATCTCAAATGCTCAATATGTTCTTGCGAGGAGACTCAGTCAGTAATGTCAGACTGGAAGGCAAGAGGATTTGCCCCTGTGAGCCCACAGACCTGATGAAAACATCACACATTTTATGGCTTTTCTGTTTTCTTGTAATCACCAGCATTCCCAATATCCCTTTTGCAGACCCAGAATGTAATGACTGTGTCTTCTGTAGCATGAAATATAGTTGCATGCCAAAAAACAAAAGAATATTAAATATCTTGGAGTTGTGCTGGTGCATCTTTGTCATTCTGTTTTTGAGTTAAACTTAATTACTAGCAATAAATCCTTATGGCTATTAATATTTATTGGTGCTGCAGTAGTCTATTTATCTACCTTAAGTATTTTTCTCAGCCTCATTACATTGTGTCTCAGTGCCTTGCAATCTTTAAGGTACTTATCCTCACAACACTTCTGTTTTCCTCATGAACAGAAACAGAGGGGGAACTGAGACACAGGGAAAGTAAATAAAAGACAATCCACCCCCCCTACAAAAAGGAATTTATGTGTCTAAAGGACAATTTAGGCACAGTTTAAGCACCTGAAGTCCAAAATTGCAATCCTTATTCAGCTATTGCCTAACTCAGAAGACATCTAAATCACCAGATGCCTTACTTCATGACGGAGCAACCTAGATGCCTAGAGTTGTGCCTCTGGGTACTAGATGTAATGCACATTAACTAAAGCATGTTAATGCACATGTAGATGTGCCCAGTGAGTTGTACTCCTTCTCCCAAAGAGCTAACAGTTTAAGAATACAGGAATCACAAAGGATGGAAGAAGGCTGCAACAAGCAATCATCCGGACTGCTTCTCTTTGCACTTACGCTGGTTTTGATGGAGCAACTACTTATTTGCAAAATAAATTCAGAGAATCAAACTCAGTGTTTATAAATATCAGTTATTCCCACTGGATTTCCACTTAACCTAACCTGTAGTTTCCTTTTAGCATTGCAATAGAGGTGGGTATTAAGGAGAAGCAGAAGAAGTCAAAGCAGAAGAAGGTTGGGTCAAATACAGGGAATGCCACCAAAGACAGTGGAGCTGTGTCCACTTATACTAGCAGAAAATTTGGCCAACTTCAGAGAAGGCAGCCCTTACTTCTACATCTGCAATCTGCAAACTGTATTTTCCAGTCTGAGCTATCATTAAGAGAGAGGCTGCTAATGAAAGGAAATGAGAATAGCCTTAGGTAGAAATGTGAATTGTGCCATGCTTTGCTACCATCCCATATTGAATGGCATGTCTACACATCGCCGTATGGTGATGTTGCTATGGTGGCATGCTTTAGTACTTCCTCTTGGAGAACCTCTTGGAAGTACTAAAGCATGGCACAGTACAGGCAGTTACTGTGCCATGCACTCCACGCATGGGTAGATTTTGCCGCTACATCACTGTAACAGTGTGCTATACCTGGGGAATGCGCCACTACAGTGACATAGCTGGCAATCACATGTAGACACTTGTGATCACAACAGCACCATAGCACACTGTATGGCACTGTAGGAGTGCCATACACTATAGAAGTGCCATAGGGCAATGCAGTGGAGTCCCCTAGGGCTGTTTGGCAATGCAGTGCATCACTATGTCATCATAGGGCAACATGTAGACGCACCCATACTTTCCTAATACAGTTGTATTAGGAAAGAATGGTAATACAATTGCATTAGGAAAGTATGGGGGCATCTACATGTTGCCCTATGATGACACTTTCCCTGTCATGCTCAGATAACCATTTAAGATGTCTATCACTACTTTATTTTAATTTGGGGTGTCCTATTATGGCCCCCTAAAACTAAAAATGGATATTTAAATAACACATAGCTACAAATTATTATTTTATGCATACATGCACCTGTCTGGACAATCAGTTTAAGCATTATTGGAGAATGAATATTCTATGTCAGAACAAAGCTACTCAGCATTAGACCAGGAACTATTCAATAGGAGGACTCAGGAATTCGGATGCTGACCTATTGGGTCAGATCCATGGTTCCCTCTAGCCCACTGTCATGTCTCTGACAGTTGTCAGCATCAGACTCAAAGGAAAGTGCAAGAAATGACACAGTAGGCAGATATAAGACTGGATTTGTCCTCTATATGTACATCACCCTGCATATATTCTGAGTGCTAACATCACGCAAATAAAAATAACATCTACCATTATAGTCAGGATCAATGTAGAAAAGGGGTGGCCAACTTGATCCAAGTGGCACAGACAGCCTCTATGTGTGGCATGCGGCAGATGGGAGAGGGGACAGGCATCACAGCAGCACATAGGGCAGGGAGCAAATGGCAAAGTTTCTCAAAGACACAGGAGTCCACATTAGGGACTCAGCTGCGTGCTCAAAGCCTACTTTTCAGATACTTGGAAACAAACATCCATCAGTCTCTATATTCTATACTGACCTCTGGCGGCACATCGAATGGCTCAACTTCCACCTCGGTTGAGTTTGTCTTATCTGAAGGAGAGGAAGATTTTCCATCCTCTGCTGCTTTGTCTGTTTTGTCTTTTCCTTTAGATGCTTTGGAGTCTTTATCTTTAGAGGGGAACTTTACGATCTTTGAAAATGTAGATTCATGAGCACCTCCAGAAAGTATCTCCACAGCAATTTCAATCAGAAGGCGGCCCCTAAAAGAGACTCCTTCCCCAAATCCTTCATTGAGCTCCTGGTAGTCATCCATTAAACTGTGATTCCTGGATGAACCATAGAGATTGATCCAAGCTGGTCCAAACGTAGGCAAGAACCCTGCAGATAAGATATATTTTACATTGCTTGCCTTACAACTTTACACATTCTGTTGACAAGAGCTCTTTCTTTGAGAGCTATAATCACTGAGGACTCGATCTAATGCCATTTCTAGAGGATGCTGGAGTTTCCCCAGCAGTGAATTTAGGACTCAGAGCATCTGCCACTTTTAAGCTCCTCTGAGATTTCTTCAGCAGAACAGGTGAAGTCCTAGAGCCAAGAAAACTATTGTAGCCCTTAAAATGGAGAAGCATTTTGTTCTGCAGACTCAGGCCATGATGGGGGAAGAGAAAAGATTCCTCCTCTTCCTCCTCAAATTGTTCTCAACTCAGACCCAGCAAACCATTACAATCCATGACTGATGATATTTCTATTCCAAACCGCATTACATGGACTGGGTGCTGGGGAGAGAACTTATCTCTCAGATATCTAGCAATGGTTCATGACCTGCCCCTAAAGAGCAAGTGTCACTTTTCTACCTAGCAGTGAGAGTGCAATGGTGTACTTCCTGCATTCATTTTGCCTGAATTAGCAAATGTATGGCAATGGCAACGTGATTGCAGCATTTCCAGAGATGGTACTAACCAAAATAATGTTATTTAGTAGCATTGGGCACTTTCACATGTGCTCTGGGGGTGGGAGGGCGGTGCTTTACTTAGAGCAGCTGAGAGCCACTCTAATTAAAGCACCTCCACGTCTCACATATCACCGGTCCTGTGCTTAAAAATGGCAGAGCAGGCACTTGAACTAAAGCTCATTTCAGGAGCTTTAGTTCAAGCACCCCCACCGCCATTTTTAAGCACGGGGACACTGATACATGAGACACAGGAGGTTGCTGGAGCACGGTAATTGCCACACTCCAGCAGACTTGATTAATCAACTGTGCTCCGACACACTGGATTTCCAGTGCATCGGAGCAGCCTCTGCGATCATGTATAGGTGCCTATTGTGACAGATAGGACATGCACAATGGGCCATCACGCACATAATGAGATTTGGCTTTGAATAACATGCAGGGATGGGGGTGTTCTCTCAGAATCAACAAAAAGTCTGGGCATCATTTCACTCTTTGGATTCTTTAAATGGTATTTACCTGATGCCCAGATCTTTAATAAGTAAATTGAATCAATCCTATGAGCCTGTAACAGTTTTTAACAACAAACATTCCTCCCCCCACCTTTATCTCCATCTTGTTCATTTGAGATTTTCTTCAGATCTATGTAGTGAGTGGCCAAAGCAACATCATTCATGCTGCCTTCATCCCACACCTGGATTTTGACTCTTCTGCACAGTGGGGGGAACATCTCTTTGAAGACGATCTGTTCATGCCACACAGGATCAGCACAGTTTTTTTGCACTGTTGTTCGGCCCTGAAATGAAAGCCCAACAGCTTCAGATGCTGTAAGACTAGATCTGATTTGGGAGAACAAAGGTGAGTCTAACAAGTTCTGTCTGATCTACAGTGATCTAAGTACAAACAGTTTTTAAACACAATTATCCAACCTAGTATATTTATTATAACTCAAAAGCATGTCTCCTTTTATGCTAGCCAGCACTAACATAAGATGGATACAACACTGAAATAATGGGCGCAAGAAGTTTCTTATTTTCCTCTACTTATTTAAACGTTCCTGTTTTAGAATTCTTACCCACAAATAGTGCAATAATTATCCTATCTTGCATACACCAATCTATCTGTGTGCTCAGACACTGATATTTTCTGCCAGTGCATTTCCCATTTCATTGGACTATGTGCTAAGCACCTTTGGAAAGGCTAGAATTTCCCCCTCCTAGGCCTGACAATGACAGCAGTGCTGTTTCAGGGCCCACACTGCAACCAAGGGTGATAATAACCCTCTTGCCTTTGGCATGCCCAGTTCATTGGAAACAGCCAGTATGGAACCATGCAGCTACAGGTCTATCTTCTCCAGCCCTAATCCCTGCATCCCAGAACCACACCACCAAACCACTCCTTTCTGTATCAGAACTGCATTGAACAGGAAAGTTGAGTTGTGTGCCTACGTTCAGCCACAATGACGCTCATACATCCACACGTAGGTCAGATATTTTGACCCATATTTTTCAGGGGGTGAAATTTTGCAAATTCAAAAAGTCAGATTTGGGTATGCAAGTTAAATGTGTGAGTGGAGTTTAGGAGTCTGAAAAAAATACTCATTTGCATTCCCGAACATGCTGGTCTTGAAAAACTCTCCTAAGGCACAAAAGCATCTACAGGGTTATTGAAAGTTTGTGAAAGATTCTACCCAAATCTGATCTTGCTAACACAAGTATAACCAAGACTAACTTCAAGGCAGTCCATGAAATTACACTTGGGTGAGACAAGAACTGGGTCCTTGGGTGTCATCTCCACTAGTGATCATCATAAATGTATTGGCACCAACAGGGCAGCTCTATCGCAGAAAGCAATGCTGGAAGCTGCTGTACAACTAGGGCTCTGGAGAAGTAGGGTTAGACAACATATCGATAATGGCAGTTGAGCTAGGACTACACTATTGCTTCCCTGACTGTTGTCACTGGAGCTGAGTATAGACAGTCAAAAAACCCCAGGCTGAATCAATTCAAACTTTGCAGGTTTCTCTAAACTGCATAGACTGAACCATAAACAAGTGAACTCTTGTTCACTTTTGAAACTGGAAAGGCAGCCAGATCCTTGCGGTGGTCCATACCAGCAGCCAGGAGGTGATAGAGCACACTTCCCAGCCTGCTGGCCACTGCCAAAGGCACCTGAATGCAGCCAAGCAGGGCTCATCCTTGATTGGCTGCCCAGCACATGCCCCTCAAACACTTACAGATCCCACCCAGGGGGGAACAGTCTCTCCAGCTGGGGGCTGGCTGGGTCCCCTAGCCTCGGAGGGTTCCCAACCCTGGCAGGGTCCCCTGAGCCCTGTCCCTTGTGCAGAGACGGGATCCCCTCCCCCATTACCAGACTTAATATTAAACTTTAGACTTCAGGGTGGGGGGACCCCCTCCCCCACCAGACTGGCACTGGACCTCCAAACGAGTGCTGTCCAGCATGGGGTGGGGGAGATCAGCCCTCACTGGGGATTTACTACCCTGGCCCAAAGCTATACATGATTCCTCTCCCCGCCTGCCCTCCTGGAGCTGGGAGCCGGGCTGGAGTCCCCCAGCCATGCCCCCTTCTCAGCAGTCCAAAGAAGTGATAGTGCTCTGGCTAGGGAGTCGAGGGGTGGGGTAAACCCTGCTCCACTGGAGCAGACAGCACAGCCCAGAGTGAGAAAGCATCCTGGGATGCTGTGGGACTGTGAGTTAACTTGAACTGGAAGGAGATCTGGGAGGGAAGTTTCAGAAATCGGTTTAACCTAAATCAGTTAAGTCTGATCCAACCAGGTTTACCTTGAACCAGTTTTGGCCATTTTGAAAGCAGTTTAAGAGCAATGAATTTCTGTTCTGTTATAGGTTTAAACTGGTTTCTGATCACTTGAACTGGTTTATGTGTAACTTCTGTCCCTACTGTAGAAGATCTGCACTGGTGCAGAATTCCAGCTGTGAAATTCCCAAGTGAATCTATGGTTCTAAGATCCAGAGCATGCCCCCCTCGGACTTTCTGCCTTTGGTTGAGTGCAAGGGAATTACAGTGCTGTATTAACATAAGACCACGGTGTGTCATTTCACTTCATTCTGATTTGATTCTTTATTAATGGAATGTGTGGCAGGGCACTAGGTGTGCCTGCCACTTTAAGGCCCTGGAGCTGGCAGCCTCCAGGTGCCTAATGGGGGCAGCCATTTTAGGCTCAGGGCTGCCTACGTAAATGAGGCAGTTCGGCCGCTGGAGGAGAGGCAACAACATTGCCTGGTTGGAAGGCTGCTGAGTTTCATCTGGAGGTAAGGAAGGAACTGTAGGGGATGGTAGGAGGCTCCTGGTCCTGGGTATGACCGGAAACTACACCCTGCCAGGAGTGGGTGGCCTGGTGGGGCTCCCAGTGGCGTGGGAGCCCCCAGGAAATGCCAGGCCAGTGATCCACCTAGTGAAAGGTGGGTTGGGGCACCTTAACCCCTAGCCCTCACCTTTGGGTGGGTCACAGTACACTGGAGGTAGTTGTGGGGGTGAAAGCTCTGAGGAGGAGAGTTGGAGGCCAGGTGTGGCCAAGGCTGCCTGAGCCCTGCGGGGGTTTGAGACCCCGGGAAGGAGAGTTGGGGCCAGGCATGGCTACGGCCACCTGAGCCCACCTGTGGAGGGAAGCCCTGAGACCCTGAGTAAAGGGGGCATTATGAGCGGTCTGGAGCCCCCAGTATGAGGGGGGCCAGCACTGTGGAGCCCCCAGTGTGAGGGGGGCTCAGCCAGAGGGCAAGAGAGCTGAGTCCTGACTCCAGTAAGTCTTCCAATGCTGGGAGGCAGAGTTTGGGTCAAATATAACATCTGAGCCCCAGTTGAGAGGGGGCCATGCTGAGGAGCCCCAGTCGAGAGGGGGCCAGCACTGTGGAACCACAGCGAGAGAGGCCAGTGATCAGAAGCCCCAGAGAGGGCAATGTAGAGCCCTGTGAAGGGAGAGGGGGATCAGCCAGAGAGAGCGAGAGCTGAGTCCTGACCCCAATAAGTCCTCCACTGTTCGGAGGCAGAGTGTGGGTCAAAGATAACACTAGTCATAGCACCATGACCTGCTGCCCAGGGTGGGAGTTAAAGTCCCCTGTGAGACCCTGAGGCACCAGTCATGGTGTGAGGTACCCCAGCTCCCCACTTCCATTATGGAGGACCCAGAGAGGGGGACCCTGAGATAAGAGTATGGGTCATACATCAGGGCCTGCCAGAGCTTCCCCTGACTGGCCCAGGCAGGGGCCAGGACCAGGGGGGTCAGAAGGGCAAGGAGGCCCACCGAGAGGGACGCCCAAGAACTAGGGGCCTGGGGTCACGACTGGCCTGGAGGTGGGCCAGGGCTAGAGTGAGCCAAAGGTCCCAGTGAGGGGACCACACCCAAAGGGGAGCCAATGGCAGGGCGATATATGGCCTGGTATGATGGCAGCAGAGTCTGCCTGAAGGGAGGAACCCAGGTGGGGTTCTACAGTAGGATTCGGGGCCCCATCGTGGGGGACTAGTACATACGA